AGCTTTTCTGGGTCTCGAATTGAAAGTGGGTGACAAAAAGTGCGAACACACAGACACACACACGCATACACACTCACAGATAGCCTCTTTCCAATATGCGTTTTTGCAATTTACATATATGCAAAAACGCATAAAAACCAGTATCGGTAAATTACTTGACGAGAAACTAAATTCCACGAGCTACATCTGCTGAAGAATCAAATAACTGGAGATCGTTGAATTGTAGTGGAAAGCGAAAAACCTTTGTCACAGATACGACATAAAAGCGCAAGTAGATGATCGTGAAATATGAAGGGGTGAAGTTTGGAGCGCTCCCCTTTCTTTCTGATTTATCCAGTTTTAAAATTGGGGTTTACCAATGTTTTTTCAAAAATGAGTAAACTGTAAGACAGAACAACAACGAGTGTCAAAATGAACAAAGGAAGTTGGAGCATATGCAGGACGGCAAATTCCTAACAAAAATGCAGGAAAATATTGTCGTGCAGTTTTGTCTTCTTTTCACTTAATGCAATCTGCAGAAAAAGCGATATCACAAACGTCGGCACGAACTGAGCAGCAACAATCGCAGCAGCAGCAGCATGAGGATGGCAGACTGGCGGAAATCCCGTCGAGCGCTTCATTGCCTACAAAATTGACTACTGTATCAATTAGCGATTTCATTTTTATCAAAGTTCTTGGCAAAGGATCCTTCGGAAAGGTTCGTTGTTACAAAAAAAGGCAGAAAAAAAAAACTGAGGAACCAGTCCTTTGACACTGCAGTACTTTTATAATTTACACAGAACAATTGATAAACAAATATATGTTTATATACTGGTGGGAAGAACAACAAAGGTGATAAATTAACAACGATAGTAAAGACGAACAAACTGCTTGTCAATTATGTCAAATGGGCTTAGCTTGAACCAGACGCAAAAATGGAAAAACAAAATCGACTTTGCCCTGGCGAAGAGTGGCTTGTTCTCAAAAATGTCTCCATGGTGGCCTTCTTTAAAGAGGAAACCAAGCAAAATATGACGCGCTGGAATGCGTATTATGGAGATTCGTTTTGCGCATTTAAGATGGCTGATAAATCATTGGCGACGCGCACTGGGCGGGCCCGTGCGATCATGCGTTTTTGCAGTGTTTCGTGCTGT